TGTTAAAACTTTTGAACTTTATAAGAAAATTGCATTGTATTCAGTCAATGAAGTTAAAGGGATAGTTCACCCAAAAAGGAAAATTTACTCATCGTTTAATAACCCTCAAGTGGTAATAAACCCTTATGAATTTCTATTGTTTCCTTGACAAAATAAACTATTTTTGAGGAAAGCTGAAAAACTTTAACCACTGACATCCAAAGTGGGAAAATCAAATACTATAAGTCAATGGTTACAGGTTTCCAGCTTTCTTTAAAATATCTTCTTTTGTGCTTAACAGAAGAAAGTCCAACAAGTTTGGAACCAATAAAAGTTGAGTAATGACAGGACATTCATTTTTAGGAAAACTATCCCTTTTACATTTGTGATCTTTGCCCAATAAAGGGTTAATGCAAAAAATGTGGCCAATTTCAATACCCCATAGACAACTGCTGGTCAACATACAGCATGTGGAAAAACTAAAACACACACACATTCTATTAAACGCCTGGGAAGAAAACTCTTGATATCGTGCATTCTTTCACCCTTTCACTCAGCCTCCAGTTTGAGGCCCATTCGTCCTCCTCCACGACGACATCTTGGGAGTGAAAAGTTCAGATGAAGTCATCATAGAGAGAGAGTTGCCTCTTGCCATGACTTCACAGCTCAGAAGAATCAGGCCAAGATACCGTGTAGGAGTCGGGGGGCGTTTGGTCTAGAGACTGGAAGTACAGTGTGAGGAGTTTAAACACCACGCTGAATTACATCATCAGAGACTCAGAATGGAGAGAGACACGCTTAGAAGTGCATCCGCAAACCTTTCTGAATCATTCAGCCATGCGTCATGTTCTTAATCATCCACCACACTGAAAAAAAATCTAATAGTAACATGTAGTAGTTTTAGTCAAACTTTACATTGTAATATTAAATGTCAAAAACAACTAGTTTACGAAGTACAAAATTTAATATTTACATATTTTATTTATGTAGTAAATGAACTAAAAATTTAAAAAGTTAAAGATGAGTATTCATTTAATTATAATATTTAAATGCTTTCCAATCATTGCAAATCAAACCTAGTAATATTAAGTAGATTTTCATTGACAAATAGTCAGCAAAATGGGTCAGCAAAGTCGAAAATGCCTCCCTTTATTATAAACTAATAAGTGAAAATATTACGGATTTGCACTGTAAACATTCACTAAAAGATAGAATAATTATATTTTAATTTTATATATTAAGTTTTTAGTTACAATGCTCCCAAAATATTTTTACAAAATTCGCTGCAGAAATAGCAAAAAATGTCTGCTGATTCTGTCTGGCCCTAGTAATGAGTAATGAGTGAAGAAAGAGAATAAGAAGCTACAGTGCAAGGAAAGGAGAGCCTTTCTGAAAATAACGCCCCCAAGAAACCAGAGCCAGCATGAGCCCACTCTGACTAAAGCCCCTCTACAGCTGTGCACGGCTAGACATAGTCCAGCAGACAAACACAGATGGAGATGGCTGATTGTGGCGTGTTCTAGTCAGAACATGAGTGAGTTGATTATTACTGCAATCATACCTCCAGAACAGTGCCGCACAGCTGTCTGCAGCTTGAAAAGAGAGTAGCGCAGCCAAAGGGCAAGGGAAACCCTACAGATCAGCATTGAGATTGAATGGCATGCCTCATACTCTGTGATTTCCCTTTGGATTTATCACCTCATATGGCCACAAAGATCCTATCTAAGAGCTGAAGGTGATCATGTGGTCCAGCAATCACAGTTAGATTGCATTTATGATCGCTGCTGCTCCATTCAACAACATTTTTCCATTCAAAGACAGACTGCTGGTACCTTTAAAAACACTTGATGTCTCATAATGACTTATGGGAAAGCAGTTAAAGGGATAGCTCACCCAAAAATTGTAATTCCCTCACCCTTTGCACACCATTATGCATGTCTGTTAAACACAAAATAAAAATATTATGAAGAATGTTGGGAGAATGCAGCAATTGACATTAAAGTATACTATAGAAATCAATGGCTGATTTATCTAGCATTCTTCAGAAGAAAGAAACTCAAGCAGGTTTGGTACAATTGGATGTTGAGTAGATGATAACATTTTGGGGTGTATCCCTTAACAGATTCTATTATTATTTACACATTGTGTTCCAAACCAGCACAAGTTTATAGATAACAAAAGATATACATTCAGTGTATATTCTATTTCAGATTGTCATTGGGCTTTTTCATTTTATACAGTGCTCAGCATATACAAGTACACCCCTCACAAATCTATCTTTTGAGTTCATATTTTGAATAGAAAGCTCTACAATATTATATTTGTGCATAAATATTAGATCAGTCAGTACTGTAGCCAAATCTGGAGCTCATCTAACAACATAACTTACATTAACAGCCCAAAAACAAGTACACCAAAATGTATATGTTATATAAAAATATTTAACACAAATTTTAAAAAGAGGAAAAATCAAGAAGCAAAAAAAAAAAAGTGAAAAATTTAGAGGAAATTTTGTACGTTGTATTTTTTTTTTTTTTTGCAATATTTTGCTTGAATCTAATTTTATTATATTTCAATTTTTAAATATGTTTATTACTTTAATAAATATATACATTAAGTCTGTTTTGTTTAAATGCACAAAAATTCATAGATTAAATTAAGAGAAATAGATTAAATATAAATTTTTTAAAAATATTCAATGGGGTTTGTTTGTTTACTTTATTGTCCCTCAAGATGAAATTTTCGGTGGATTCACAGAGCACTTCAGCAAGTTCTGACACAATAAAAAAAAATATATAAAAACAAACATGCAAAAGAGTTATATACACAACGAAAAACATATGAACACTACTGATCAGTGTTCAACAGTCTGACTGACACTGGGATACAAGAGTCTATTCTGCTTCCAGCAGAAGGTTCAGTATCTTCTACCAGAAGGTAAAAGATCATAACATAGGAAAAGTACATGAGATGGATTGTTCAGAATTCTTTTCACTTCATTCAGAGTGCATTGCTCATAGAGCGTTTAAATACTGGCAAAGGTTTCTGATCCAATTAATCTCATAGCAATTCTGATAATATTACAACCTTTTGATTTCATTATTACAGAAATATTAACAATACCACGTAGATAAAATAAGAACATGATAAAATAATACATGATTTTCTTGTCAACACCATACATAAAACCATAACCTTCGTAAAAAAAAAAGTCTTTGGTGTACTCAATTATGCTGAGCACTGTGCATTGTTCTTGTATTTGAGCAATTTAGCTTTGATTTTCTGGATGACAGCAGTTACAACATTATTTAAAATCATCACAGGGTTTCACCAATACGAGAAAGTGACATTTAAATTTTAATGTATAGTTGAATAATAACTATACATTTAACATACAGAAATCCAAAATCAGCATTAAAACTTTAGACAGCAAACTATTTGCCAAGCAAATGAAGTATCACTTGAAATGTCATATCAGGCAAGCTGAATGACTTTTTATAGCACTAAAAAGGCTCCAAACAAAAGATATCGGCAAGATCAAAAAACAGATCAAAGATGTCTAACGTTTGCCTTTTCCCCCATGGGTTACTCATAATCTAGCAAAGGTCATCTCTGAATGTTTGGAGATTGTCCTGCTAGATTTTGCAGAAGGCTTTAAGTGACCATAACACATGTAATCAGGGAAAATTATGGGGGCAATCTTCATTCCCCTTGAGGAGAGCTGGTACCTACTATGACATCATCATTCACTTTTGTCAAGTTCTATATATGGAAAAGCCACCAGCGATGCTACTGAGAAACGCATGTGTTGTCATCCGCTAACATATAAACATGCACACACACTTCAGGCGTGCGCTAAACAAACACTTAACCACACTTTTAGCACCGTTGCTCCCCAACTGTGGTGATACGCTTTGATCTGATTGGCAGTGCACAGACTGGGTTGGGATTGTAAACAACAGTTGGGGGATACCCTTGGATTCATTGCCCCCCTAGACTGGTGAGTATATGATAACACTGAGCTCAGTTTAGTAATCAGTCTATTAGAATGAAAGGGAAACACAGCAAATCAATGAATGAGCTACAGTAATCAAGTGGATCAAAAAAGTTTTTCAAAATTGTCAGAAGACAAGATTGGGTGTTGTTCAATAGTTTTAGGACAACTCTGATGAAAGGTATTAAACCACTTCAAATGTTGACTACTGTAGGTTAAACACATTTAGAACAGTGGTTTACAGATCTAGAGACCACCAACCCATGCTCTTAACCCTGACCACTTGAGTACTAAATTCTATTTAATTCTTTAGTTAGATTAGCTAACATTACACTACAACAGCCAATATAATACATACATTTATAAAAGAAAAAAAAAACTTCAGAAAGTTAGAAATCAGTTAAAATGCATTGAGGTAAGGTTTATTTTAAATTTGCAGATTCGTTCAGTGACAGCTCCATACATTGTTTACCATGGTACTTTGAGTATTCAGACTGAAATCACATTTAAATATGACTTTAAAACAACATTAGCACTATTTAATTGACTGTGAACAATGTACTTTGATGGTTGTTGGATACCAATATGATTTCACTATTTAGAATTTGCAATGAACACTTTCCTGAAATTATATTAATAATGAAAAAGTCTGAATGTGCGAATTGAAAACCAACTTTACCTCAATTAAAAATGCCAATCTGTTTCATTCTCTTCATTAAAACCGTGAAGTATAAACACTTATCAGACTGACACAGCTTTCTTTCAATTCAATTAACGTTAAATTATGGTAATGATGGTAAAACACTGTTTCAAAACCACAAAGTTAAATAATAATATGTGATTTTAAAACCACAGGAGTGAATAAAACACTAATGCACTAACTAAACAGCATTTGCAAGACATATTCACATCATTAAATACCATTTGTAAGGGAACAATCAGTAAATTTGATCTAGTTGTAGTTTTCCTTGAATCCTCGCCAAGCTTCTACAATTTCAGTGCGTAAAGGCAAATGAAAGAAACCTACCTTGAGTCAGTCATATAAAAGTCCACCGAGTACCCGAAGTAGCTACCGCTGGGTCCGTTATACACCGCTGGATTCTCCACATCCAAGTTGAAGGCAACAGACAAAGGTAGAAGAATCAACAACGAAAGTCCCATTGGAGAGCAGCTTGTAGACGCCGAAGTCTTTGAACGGTGCCGTTTGCAGCCCATAGTAACCGATGTATCAAAATCCACTGCTTTATTAAACTTCTTTCACAAGAAAAGTGATGCACTTAAGCGGAATCCTGCTGAAGCTGCTGCCTTACGCAAATCTCATGCCTTGGTGAAGTGAATCAGTCAGATCCTTATTTTTCCAAGCGCTCTGTTACCGCGCCTCCGTCTATCTGTCCCGTCCTCTCCTTTCTGCGTCCTCCCTCCAGCTTAATTGAAGGGGTATTAGGAGGAGGTTCAGTTCTTCCTCTCGTGACAAACCTCCATAGAGGTGGAGCTAACGGCACAATTCACAAAGTGGGGAAACAGCGGTACACAGAGAGGAATATCTCTATTCATTCAAAGTAATTCAAAAACATAATTCAAAAATAATTACACTAAATTATAGCCATAAAGTATGCCTTCGTACATTTAAATAAAAAATAATCATAATTTTACTCATTATAAATGCATTTCTAATAGATATAAATATGTTTTTATTATAGTGCATAACTATGTTTTTAATAAATGTAACATTTTAATAACTTCACTGTTTCATCTGTTCCAGGAAATAAACACTTGCCCTTACAGAGTTCATATTCTGAAAGTATGGATGCTATCAAAAGTTTTATAACATTTTAGTGGAGAATTGGAAGTTGACCCAGATAGGCCTAATAGTGACTTTAATGAAGATTATCTAAAGCATAAAATCTTAAAATAGAAACTATCACTATAGCTTGGAAGTACGTGTGACCCCGTCTTGTTAATCTGTCTAGTTGAAGGACTCTTTTGCATAGCTGTCAGAGATACCTGAATGAATGATTAACAACGAAAGAGCTCTTTATAAAGTCCGTTATCCTACAAAAAGGATCTCCAAACATGCTGCCCTCAACAGACCGTCTCAATTCTGATAAAGCTGGTCAGGAAAGTCATCGGACAGGCATTTGAGGCAACGCTCGAAATTCAGCGTGGAGTTATTAGGATATGAGTGCTTGTTTATTTAGAGAAATGTTGTTTATGATACACAAGCCTGTACACTGCGAAATCTCCATTTATAGATCTGACACCGTCAAGACACACACGGGGCTGGGAAATTGCGCGTCTCTGAGCTGTAAAAAGCCACTTCGCCGACTGGAATTAGAGCGTGTTGTTTTAGTTGATTCAGCCTCTGCCCAAGGGATTGAAATGGAGCCAAATTTGGCTGTGCGGCTAACAGGGCACTCGCCGTGAGAAGAAGGCTTCACTTTGGGAAAGTATGGTGTGAAGGGGGAGCTCACAGCTGTCGGACCACAGACACACCAATCTCTTCCTAAATCAGATTGACGTAAGTCACTCAAATGACATTTGTATAAAAATGGTTGATATTCGCCCTTCAAATACACTATTAACAACAAATTGAAAGAAATTGATTTTAAAATATAGCAAACAATTTACACAGTAAATTCTTAATTATAAAGTACAATGGAGGACATTCGTAGTTTGTGTAAAGCAGATAAAGAGAGCCTTTATCATTTATTTTTTAATGCAATGTTGAAAACATGTTCAAACATGTGCAAAAATATTTTTTAAATGACAAAACTTAGTTATTATTTTACATTAATATATATATATATATATATATATATATATATATATATATATATATATATATATATATATATATATATATATTTATTACGAAAACAAATCCAACAAAACTATTGAATATATTGGTAATCTCTTTATTTTACTGGCAAAATTTCACATACACAAATAGAAATTTGCTAAGTAATCTTCCACATTTTCACCTGCATGAACCACGCCATATTTTGAGCTAGGCTTTACTGTAGTGATGAAGGGGATGGTAGAGAACAGTGGGATGAAGGGGAAGGGAAGAGGATAAACAGTGAACAGGTAGGCAGGTCCTAGGATGATGCCCAGAGACTCAGAGTGGGGGTTCCGTCTCTGTAATATTTTTGTAGAGTGATTGGACCCCCCGATTTAAGTGAAGGGAGGGTTATAGGATTGTAAATGGTACATGGAAATTTAGGGAGAGAGAGTTCGAGAAAACGAGAAGAACCAACACAATCTGGCCTGACTTAAATAAGTTTTAGGAAGCAGGTGATTGGTTAAGAAGACAAGGTGAAGAGTTGTTGCGCCGCCGAACTTTTGTTAACAAGATAACTCCATAACAATTTTTTGTATCAGTTTTTTTTAAATGTCTAAATTGTTGAAAAGCAAACAATCTGAGATGTGTATCAATTATTTTAATAGTTTTTTTATTCCCCTGTTATTCTTAAAATACATTATGCCTTGTGGATTTAATTTTTTTATTTTTTACAATTATTAGATCAGTTTTCTATGTTCACTTTTTATATTATGTTGTTGTGTGTATGTTCCTGATGGTTTGTGCAATAAAAAATAAAATACAATAAAAAAAGAATGGTTTATATCAGTGATTGAATCTTTTTGTGTCAGATATATTTTAATGACTCGGTCTACAAAAGGAACCTCATGATCCACTTAATCACAGAACCAATAATTTCATTCAAACTTATCTGATTAAAAATGGATAGTTCACCCAAAATGTACATTTATGCACCATTTACCCTCAAACAGCTCCAAAACTCCATGAGTTTCCATGAGATGACAGGCCTATTTTAAAGAATGCTGGAAGCTGCTAGCCATTGGCAAAAGTAGGCATGAAAGTCAATGGATAGGCCTACTGGTTTACACAATTTTTACATTTTTTATTTTTTATTTTTCAACAGAACTAAGAAATTCAAACAGGTTTGGAATGAGTCTGAAAGAGTAAATAATGACAGAATATTCCTTTTTGGAAAAATAATTCATTTAAGCACAATTAATACCTTTCTTATTTTGCCATTATAAAAACATGCAGCATCCAAAACTCTAGGAGAAAAAACATTGTGACAAAATATTTGTCTGTATTTAAAAAGTTGGCAGCAGTTACATAATTTTTAATTAAAAACTAGTAGGGGAGGATGCAATTTCTTATGTAGCCACATTGTTGCCTACACTGTAAAAAAAATGGTATGATCAGTTGGTAATGATGCATATGTTTTTAGTTCATTGTAACTTATTAAACTAAGTTAATCATGTTCTAACTTAAGTGTTTAAGTTATGCAAGCTTTTTAAGTCAGTTTAACATAATATAAGTTCAATGGACTCATAAGGTTAATCTGATTCAGCTTAAAATGTGAGGCAACCAGGATTTTTTTTATATAAAGAGCAGTAAAATGGCTAATTTTATTCATATGCAAGAGGCCCATACTCTATACCAAGTGTAAGCAATATTACATTCCCTCATTGATACACTGAATATTTTCCTCTTTAACACTGTATTACATCATACACTGTAAAACCAACAGACAACTTTATCAAATGAAATAAGTGTAGTTATCTCAAAATGTACTGAAAGTTAATTCTGCTCATTTAAAAAGAGTTTTGAACTCAGTGTTGAAGGTAATGAGTTAATAAAATACATCATTACTTCAACTTAAATGGAGTAAGTTCACAGTACTCGTACAGATTCGTTTTTTTTAACTGAAATGGTTTTTAGCAGTCGGATTTCTTAAACGGTTTGAGTTGCCTTAACTTATTTGGTTTTACAGTACTCAACTGGTTTGAGTTATTTTCATTTATTGGGTTTTACTGTGCTCAAATTGCTTCATTTACTCAATTGGATTAAGTTAACAGTAATCATTAGGATTAGTTTTTGACAGCCTGATCTCAAGAGAAAACGTTTACGTTTTGCCAGTTTAGTGGCTAATTCGTACGACTTTGTACGAGTTTAGTCGTATGAAATTGTACGATTTTAAAAAGGAGGCCTGGCACCTAACCCCACCCCTAAACCCAACCTTCATTGGGGGGATGAGCAAATCGTACTAAAATGTACAAATTCGTACGAATTAGCCACTAAATGAAAAAGTTACGAATTGCCGTGAGATTGTGTTGGTTTTTGAACATAAATGGTTTGTAGCAACCGTTTTCCTGAAATGGTTTGAGTTACTTTTTGGGTTTTACAGTGAATAAAACATGTACAAATACAGTTAGGTTTTTACACGTGTCTTGCTGATGCTACAAGGGTCAAACGTTTGTGCACCCTAGAGAGACTTCAGCATACATAGTTTAGAGAGAAAGATAAATGGTTACATGATCAGGCTGTCTGCTGCTGTGAGGTAGAAAAATATTCTCTCTATTACCTGAGAGACAGTCAATTCTCAACACAAAACATATAATGTCTGCTGTGCACCTCAACATCTGGCACCTTGAAGAGACCGAACAGTGAGCATTTCACAAATCAAAGTGTAAAATAGAAACAAGGAAAGTCTTGTACAGTAGGTAATGTTACAGAGACATTTTAAATCCACAGAGCGAGAAGCCTTTGTCCAGATCTAGTATTGCAAAAGTTGAGTTAGAATAACAGGAAAAGATTAGGTAATGGGGCTGGATTTGGGCTCTGCAAAGGGGCGTTGTGTCTGTAGGATATTGCTTGGATGTTGTCATACATGAAGCAGCATTAACAAGTGGTGCTGGTAGCCAAAAAATGTCTTAACTAGAGGAGCTACAATGCTGGTATGCTGCTTTTTTTGTCAAAGCCCTCCAGCATATGTAGCTATAAATGTGTGAGAAAGCACATACTTTGAACACATGGGATCTTTTCTCACAGGGTTTGATTACTTAAAGGGATAGTTCACACAAAAATGCAAAGTGCTGCAATCCATGTGGATTACTTTCTTTCGTTTAGCAGAAAATTAGATATTTGTAACAGAATGTCCTAGCTCAATAGACTGAAAGTTAAGAGGGACCACAGCCCACAACCAGCTTCAATTCAAATTTCAGTCTGTTCCTCATACAAAGCTATCACGTTGCTTTAGAAAACTTTGAATGTGGAGTCATATGGTATCATTTCTGAGCTTACCAGTTCTTGGTCTCCATCCACTTTCATTTTATGGAAGATAACATGTCAGGATGTCTTTTGAAAAAGAGTAGGGGTTAATCCTGGCATGCTGACCAAATTTGCCCACTGGCCTCTTTCCATCATGCTAAACCATCCCCAAATCATAATTGACTTCATTCCTCCGTCTCCTCTCCACCAATCAGCTGATGTGTGGTCTGTGGCTGCCAGGTGGATGCTGCACACTGGTGGTGGATGAGGAGATTCCCCCCAAAAATGTGTAAAGCACTTCGAGTGTTCAGAAAAGCGCTATATAAATGTTAAGGAATAATT